AGCCCCAGCAAAACTGGAATCAATGGGTATCATGGGGCAAACTCTCCAATGGGTGGAGTCATACTTGGCACACAGAGGGTGATGGTTGTGGTCACTGGAGGTCAGTCATCTCATCTCTGGGACATCTCTGCAGCAGTTCTTCAGGGTAGTGTTATAGGCCCAACCATCTTCAGCTACTTCATCAATAACCTTCTTTCCATTATAAAGTCAGAAGTGGGGCTGTTGGCCAATGATTGCACAATGTTCAGCGCCATTCATGACTCCTCAGATGTTGAAACAGTCCATGTCCAAACGAACAAGCTCTGGACAATATCTAGGTTTGGGCTGACAAGTGGCAACTAACATTCACGCCACACGAATGCCAGGCAATGACAATCTCCAATAACAGACAATCTAACCACTGCTCCTTATCATTCAATGGTGTTACCATCACTGAATCACCCACTATCAACAACCGGGGGTTAATATTGACCAGAAACTCAACTAGACTGGCTGTGTAAATACAGCAGCTACAAGAGCAGGTCAGAGACTAGGAATACTATGGTGAGTAACTCACCTCCTGAATCCCAAAGCCTCTTCCACAATCTACAAGCCAAAAGTCAGGAGTGTGACAGAATACTCCCCACTTGCATGGATGGGTGCAGTTCCAACAACACTCAAGAAGCTGACACCATCCAGGATAAAGCAGCCCACTTGACTGGCACCACATCCACAAGCATCCGCTAAATCTACCACTGACGTTCAGTACACACTGCTGCCATCTACAAGATGCACTGCGGAAATTCACCAAAGATCCTTAGAAAGTACCTTCCAAACCCACAACCACTTCCACCTGGAAGGACAATGGCAGCAGATACATTGAAATAACACCATCTTGACTTGGCAATATATCGCTGTTCCTTTACTGTCGCTGGGTCATACTCCTAGAATTCCCACCCTAAGGGCATTGTGAGTCTACCTACAGCACACAGACTGCAGCTGGTTAAGGAGGCAGCTCACCACCACTTTCTCGAAGGCAACTAGAGACGGGCAATAAACGTTGGTCAGCCGGTGATGCCCATGCTCCACAATTGGATAAAAAATAGAAATTGCTGGTGAAACTCAGCAGGTCTAGCAGCATCTATAGGAAGAAATCAGAATTAACATTTCAAGTCTGATGGATCTTCATCAGAACCCTTTCATGATCACCCTCTTCCTCATTGCTTTGATGTTTGTGCCAATATTTTAGAGAGAGTCACTGCTCTCATTTGACTCATTCATCATTTCCTGCCCCTTTTATAATAAATTACTGCATGTTTTATTTTGTTTGAAGGAATGTTTTTGATCATTGTTTTGTTGAATATTGGTTTAAGTATTATTTAATTTGATGGCGTGCAATATTTTATGTATATCTTTTGGTTAAAATATAATATTTTAAATGGAATTTATTATATTCCAGCAGCTCCCCATTAAACAGTGTGCACTATTTAATAATTGACAATTATTAATTTTGGACAGTTTATAATAATATAAGTCAATTTAAGGATGTGGGCTTGGTCAGCTAATCACCATTTCTCAGTGTACTCTTTTTTTCTGCTTTCTAATGTTCTTACATGGTTTATCTAAAACACAACATTGCTTTTCCTATGCATTGATCAACACAACAAAACTGAAACTTTTTAGTGACAACGTGCATATGGCCATTGTTTATTTCTGGTCACATAATTAGCTAAATTACATTTAGTGTGAGATCAGATAACAGAGTAAGAGCTTCAGAATATCTGTGTTCTTTTACAAAGTAACCTCTCAAACAAATGCAATAATTGAAACAGTGGGAGCAAGTTGATTAAAGTGCATTGCAGAATTAGTTTAGATAAGGGGAGGCATTGTTTGCTGCTAAGACATGGCTTCCTGTTTAGCTCAATTTCAGTAAAATGCATGTACAAGTTACATAAATTATTAAAGACTTGAAGATACAATCTTAAATCTGTCTTTCATATGGAAGGAAACGATTTGTACATATTAAAGTGTAAATCTAACCTGCCTTATTATGCATTATTAGACCATCTCTTAGTTAGTTTATATCTCCGTACCCAACAGCACATGTCAAAACCTTTTTCTTTCATTGTTTACTGCAGCACATCATTTTCTGCTGATGGGTTGAGGAAGTGGGAGGTGGGTGGGGGTTGGATGAGGTAACCTTTTCACTATTATCAGATGTGAGTATTCTGCTGGATGTGAACTCAGTATTTAAAAAGCAGAAATCTTGTCTCTTGCTTATGGGAATATACAGAGTGGCACATGAATCCATAGCCCAAGAGCCAGGGGTGTTAACAGTCAGTGAAAGTTGATTTCAGTCTGATATAAATTGAAAAAAAATCCTGCAAGATGTATTTTTGTTTCTAAAGTTGTATTGATGACTGGATTCATACCAGCAGAATGAGTGAAAAAAGGAATATAGGAATATAGGAACACATAAGACTGGAAAGACTGCACTCACAATAATTAATAACTCTCAATCATTCACTCCTTTAAATACCTAATTAATTATCCTGAATTTCTTTTAGCCTTCCTGGCCAGCCCATTTCACATGTTTATCACTCCCTGCATAAAATTTTAAAGTTTTCTCCCTTTTCTCTTCTAATCTTGACCCATGTCCCCTATTTCTAGAGTTTGCGGCATTCTCCAACAAATTATAACAGCACAATTGTCTGTTCTTCTGTGGCCTTCTCTTCTCAAGTGTGACCATACCTATGCTTTGTACATGTTTAACAGCATCTCAGGGGATTTGTCCTTTATCCTCACAAATTTAACCAACCAACTGAATTTCCTCATTGCTGCCACACACTATACTATTGGTTTTTGTAAGCTATCCACTTACTGCCAGAGGTTTCTCTTTTTGGTTACCTGAAGACAATTTGTTTCTGTTCCCATAGTCTGCTTTGCCTCTCCACTTGCAGTACCTTTAATCTGATAATTTGAAATTTCTTTGGCTATTCATCAGCCCATATTCCACTGTTTATTCTGTGCAGGTGGGTGTAAAAGCAATATTTAAAGGGAAACAGGTAGGATTGGAGAATCCTCCATTCTGCCTGGTCATAATTCATTTCCTATCAAACACCGTTTAAAAGAACAGATTACCTAGTCATTGCCTCACTGTTCCATGTGGGAGTTCGTTGCAGCAAATGGTTGCCATGACTCCTACATTACAACACTTCTAAAAAACTTAAATGGCTATAAAGCACTCAAGGAGACAATTTGAAGGTGCCTTATAAATGCTGGTCTTTCTTTTATGTAACTGGCTTTGGCAATAGGCAATTTGCTTTCTTGTATTTCAGTTTTCAGCTTTCCAGCTGAGTTACACGCCTCAACTCCTCAGGGATTATACTTGGTAGATTCTCTTTTATCTTTGGTAAGCAAAATGAACCAAAACTAGCTCAGTCAAATGTTCATTCATTTTGAAGGCAGCTGCTTGGTCCTAAAGTATCCTGTACTGTGATGAACAAACCATTGCCATATCAGGCCAATGGGTCTGTTCCTCACGCACTTACTTAAAATATGAGATGGTAATGAGCTTTTGGCCAACTTGAATGCAGCCAGAATGATGTTGGCTCTGTGACTAGTATTTGATTGGTTTTGCTTTTAAAAAGAGTGACAGTAATTTGCTGCCAGTCTCTCAGAAATGTTTACACTGAGTTGTCACCAGTGTTGGTGAGAGCTGCCTCAAGATTAGGAATGTTGAAGCTAAAGAAAAACAGGAGACCATTTTACGCATCAAGACTGTTTTGCCACCCAAGATCATAACAAATCTGCGACTTAACTCCAAAACTCTGTCTTTGGCATATGCCACTTTATAGATATTTTCCTACTACCTGTTTTTATACAACTGAATTCAGGCCACCTGACTCCGAGATATGGACACTACCACTGCATCACATACCCACTTTATACACTTGATTAACAAAAGCAAATTAATTTCAGATATAAAATGAACAATTGATCTAGAGTCAAGTCGCATTTGTGGAAGAAATTTCCAAACTTTTACCACCCTGTGTTGAAATGTTTCCTCTTCTGATTTCACTGTAAAAGTAGTTTCAATTGATAAACAATGCCTCCCAGTTCTAGACTTCCCCACCAGCAGAAGTAGTTTCCAACAAAACCAATCTATTACTCTGCATATCTTAATATTTTAATCAAATTATCCCTTACCATTATAAATTCCAGGGAATGTAGAGCGTGTGTAATCTCTCCTCATAATTTATTCCGTGGAGTCAAAGAATCAATCTGGCAAAGCTACTTCACACTCTATCCAAGTCATTATGTGCTTTCTAAGATGTGGTGTCCAGGACTGCTCACAGTACCATCTTAGCTCTTAGCTCAGTTAGCCCTTGTGTTACTGTTTGAATGCAACTAGACACATGTTAATGCGAATGACCAGTATCTTAGAACCCCTAATGTCTCAATTCTGGTCAATTCTGCCCCTGTCCATGTTTCATTTCTAACTGCACAGACTGCTCATACACCTCTTGAATTAAAATTATATATTAATCTTGCCCGTGCCTGTGTGATAACATGAAATACATAGCTGTTTTGCTAGCTGGGGTATTATAGTGACTACTCCACTCACCCTGGTTGTACAATCTCACCATGAAGAAATCCTTTTTGCAGCCAATGCAACTTCTAGTTGGAACAATCTTGAAATAACACCCAAAAGGAAGGTAGTTGTTCCAGCAGAGAACATCAGTGATTGAAAGAAACGTTCACAGGCTAGATCATTTTTCAGCTTCTCAAGCCTTATCACTTTGCTGAGGAGGGGCTCTCAACTGGATGGGGGCAAACCTAGAGCGAGGTAAATAAGGAAGAAAATTAGACAAAAACTTTTTTTTGAAGAAAACAGTTTAAATCACCTAATAATAATAGTGACAGATGCATACAGGTCCTGTTTGTCCTCAAGGTACTGTTTATTATTGAAGGCTCATTCCAACCCTGCAATATGTAATGATCTTCACTTTAACTTCCAGTTCTTCTCTTCAGTGAAGCTGGTGCGACTGGCATGAAATGTAATCACATATACAAAGGATTTGCTGAATGTTTGCTGAAGTTGGGAGACAGTCTGGCCAAAAATATTGAAGGGAAGGCCGAAGAAGTGAAGGAACTGGATGCAGTTTGCCGGTGAGCTTGTAGTTATTTACAACAAGGAGGCCCTTTCTCCTGGCATTTTTAAGGACAGGGGTAGAAATTCCACTTTTCCACATGTGGTTTAACAGAAAAATGGGAGTAAACCATCTCAGGATGCTCCCTGGCCCATCAGCAACAATAGAAACATATTCATATAGAAAGTCATGTCAAAAAACTGCTAAGCTATCATTCCAAGAACAAGAAAAGGATACAGTTGCATCTGTATATCACCCCTTTCACCTCAATAAGATGTTCCAAGTGCTTAATAGCTAGTGAAGCACAGTCACTTAGAAATTTATAAAATACTTAACAATTTGTGCGCATCAAGCTCCCACAAACAGCAAAGTGACAGTAACTAAATAATCTGTTCTTGTGTTTTTGATTTGGAATTAAATTTTAGCTCAGATTTTGGGAATAGCTGCTGAGTTCTTCTTTGTAATAATGCTATGGGATCTTTTAGACCCATCCAACAAGGCAGACGGTGTGTTTGTTTAATGTCTCATTTGAAATACAGTGGCCTGCAAAAGTGCTGCATTCTTGTGCTGCCGCACTGGAGTGTCAGCCTAAATTGTCATGGTCAACTCTCAGGGGTGGATCTGTAAACCCACAACCTTCTGACTCAGAGAATAGAGGGCCGTCACCAAATGGAAATCAGAAACTGCTGTATTGGGAAAGTATGAAACCCAGAAGAGGGCGAATGAAGTTGAGATTAATGGATAGTTGGGAGGGAAGAGTTATGTTTTCACCTTGCTGCTGACGTGTAAACTTGGCATTTGGATCAACTGGTTTAGAAAGTACATGATTTACAATATACTTGTTAGACCTTAGCTGGAATATTTTGTACAATTGTGGGTGCCACATTATAGGAAAGATGTGAATGCATTGGAGAGAGTGCAGAAATGATTCACAAGAATGGCTTCAGGAATGAGAAACTTCAGTCATACGCATAGATTGAAGAAGCTGGAATTGTTCCTCTTGGAGAGGAGGCCGAGAGGAAATTTGATAGAGATTTTCAAAGTCATGAGCAGGCTGGATAGAGTGGATGGGGAATAGCTGCTACCGCTCATGAAAGAAACAAGAACAGAGGGTGTAAATTTAAAAGAAGCAAGGGTGATGCAAGAAAAAAAATTCTTTCACACAGCAAGTAGTTAAGGTATGGAATGCACTGTCTGGAAATGTGATGGAGGCAGGGTCAATTGAGAAATTCAAGGGGGCGTTGGATGATTATTTGGATAATAATGGTGTTTAGTGATATGGAGAAAAGGTAGTAGATTGGGACTAAGTAACAGAACTTGGGCAGGCATGATGGGCTGAATGCTCTCCTTCTGCTCAGCAACAATTCTGTGATATACTTTCACTAAAAATCAGTGGAAATTTTAATGGACAGCAATTTAACAATGTCAGGTTTACATCTAGGCAGCAAGAGAAACATTTACAGCAGGGTGGCAGTCTTTTTGAGGGAAGAGAAAGAAGTGGTTTTGGAATAAAGCTTCATTGAGCAGGGAAATAACTACATTAATTCCCTGCCAAGAATTTCCCTTGGTTGGTAATACTACAGATGTCCAGAGCTGTGTTGGTGCCTCATCAACACATCACTGAAAGCATTGTGAGGTATCTCATAAAGCATTGACTTTAGACTATGTCATGTCTCCAGATGAGAAAGTTCTGTATAAATCTTAAAAAATGTTATGTTCTTGACTAAGTTTTCATGCTTTCCCAATACAGCAGTTTCTGATTTCCATTTGGTGCCTTTCTTATAGAAATAGAATGAATCCATTTTGTTAATCATACTAGTACTTAATTGTTAAATTCCAAATTTCTAGTCTTTCTGTCTAGCTCTTACTTTTGAAATAAATGCTGTATCTTTCTCTCATTTAATTATCTCAAATTGAGGATGTTTTGGGGGTGATGGTGTCCACCCACAAGCCTTTATGTAAAGACATTTCCTCTGGATTCACCTTTAACTGACTTAGTTCCAATGTTGAGGTGATGTTCCAGATTCTCCTACTAGAGGGAAGAGATGTTACCTGTTTATTCTGTTATCTCCCATCAAACTCTCATTTCTAAAAAATATAATTCAAGCTGCTCTGTGTTTTTAAGCAACAGTGAAGGCAGAATTTTCCCAGGTGCTTCTGAATTCTCAGCAATGGGACAGGTAGGAGTCATTGAGACCATGCTTGGTGGCAGGGAGACTGATTGAGCAATTTTCCCTGGTGTCTTTTTAATTGGGTGGTCTCCAATCAGACAATTGGCAGGGTCAGACTGACCAATAGGAAGAAGTAAGCACTGTCGAGGCAGGTAGGAAAAGACAAGGGGCATATCAACATGGACACGCTACTGGATGTGTAATTCTAAATGAGAATTTCAGAGTCTAAGAGATGTAAGACCCTCTGGCAGAAATGTTTGGATTGAGGGCACGGCCTTTCCTCACACCTCTTCCTTGATGGAATGGAACCTCCAGCATCGCTAGGCCTCCCTCCAGGTGCAGGGAGGCTGCCTCTGTGGAATAGGACACAGCCTGGGTCCTAATTGGGCTGAAAGTTTGTAAATTTCCTGCCTGCTTACATGCAGTGGCCCACCAATTCACTTCACAGGTCAGCAGGGAAACCTCTCCAGTAGTGAAGATGCATCAGGAAGCCAATCTGACGTGGATTCCCTGTCTTCCCCAATCACTTCCATCACCCACCTCAAAACCCATCACCAGAGGCCTAGGAAAATTCAACAGTGTGTGCGTCACCATTTTGGCATAATGTTTATGGACCTTGTCAATATGGACAGAATGTCTTTGGCAGAGGAGGGTGGTAAACATTTTGATACAGTGTGGGCAGCCCCCAGACACAACGGGATTGTTTTTAAGTACCTCTGCCTGGGTTGAAAATGGGCTTGGGTTACTTACTCCTCTGCTTGCGTTGGTCCCTGGCTGCTGCTGTATTGAGAAGTCCAGCTAGATTTGCTGCTGTTTTCAGCTAAGGAGAGGGGTGGGTCATGTAAATCATGTAGAACCCTAACTCCAAATGGATGAAACATGCACCAACAAAAGTTTGTCCATTGGGTCCAGACCCGAAACGTCAGCTTTCCTGCTCCTCTGATGCTGCCTGGCCTGCTGTGTTCATCCAGCTCCACACCTTGTTATCTCAGATTCCAGCATCGGCAGTTCCTACTATCCCTTTGTCCATTTGTACCCATTTTGAACAGCAAGACATAAATATTTAAATATATTTTAAACTTCTACATTAGTATGGCCAGAAAGAACAGGACTGAGTGTAACAGATGCCCACCCTCCTCTGTTCCAGAGTAATAGCCCCAAGCTAACTCAGACTGTCAGCAGGTTCCCCAATTCCTAGATATTGAGATGTCCCAGGCACTGGCAATAGCAGTTGAGCAGCACATTCATACAGATTTATATAAATTGTAAGTAAACATAATATTTTAACTTGATAACATTTAAATTTTACCTTTCAAAGTAATGGTTTTACATTTGATGGTACATTAACATGATGGAAAGCTACTTTTACTGTTTTGGTCCTAATCACTCTCAGTTAAAGTTGTGAATTTGAGGAGCACGTACAGGGACGAAACAGTGTTGTTTATAGGAGTTCAATAAAAATCAGGCTGAAAAATAAACCATGCTATATTTGAAACGACACGATAACAGAGAAGGCAATTGTGAGGCGCTACTTTGCTAGTGTAGGAGATGAGTGCTGCAAAGCAGCAAATTATACATTTAATAAAAATAATTGACATGTTGTTTTGCAGCTGAATTAAGCTTTGTATTCGAATCTATCATTTTCACAAGGCTAGATTTAAGATAGTATTAAAATCATTGGATCAACTTTAAAGTAGGAAAATATATAAATGAAACTTTAGTGAAGTATATTCAGATCAATTTGTGCTCTTGTGTTTTCTACTGTTGTTGACCAGCATTTAATGGTACGCATGGAAGTGCCGTAGGAAGGGACAGATTGTTAAAGCACTTTATGTTAGGAGTTAATAACATGCCATCCTGGAGGGTAGAGATGTGCGACCCTGGAGGACAATGCTGTGTGACATGCAGGACATTGATGTATCACACTGGAGGTTATTGATGTGAAACACTGGAGGATAAGTAAATTGTTTGCTTCAATGATCATACATAATGGGATGAATGGAAGAGCTGAATATTCTTTAAATGGGGAAAGACTGCAGAAAGCTGCAGCACAGAGGAATTTGTGGGTCATAGGAGAATAGGAGGAGACCATATTGAAAATATAATCTTAATGAGCTTTACAGGGTAAATAGAGATCGGTTGTTTCCCTTTTGGGAGAGTCTAGCACCGATGGCATAATTTCATAATTTAACAAAGAGATGGAGAGGATTGTATTTTTTTCTTAGAGGGTTATGAATCAGTGGGAATTCAATACCGCAGAGGACTGCTGAGGCTGAATTATGAAACGTATTCAGGGCTGATACGGACAATTTTTAATCAGTAGGGTATCTAGGGATTTGTGAAACAGTAGGAAAGTTGAGGATTATCAAATCAGCCACAATCTCATTGAATGGTAGAGCAGATATGATGGGTTGAATACTGTTGCTCCTATTTTTTATGGTCATAATGAGGTATGACAGTAGAAGATATTGAGGTGTGTAACAATAGAGGATATTGAGGTACAACAGGATTGTGGTGTGACATGATGACCAAAATCTTTCAGAATTAAAAGATTTACAAAGACATCAAAGATACGGAGACAAGTAACTGGGTTGGGCTGGCTGCATTTGTAAATATTTCTGTGACTGAAACCATGTGTCAGTAACAGCAGCCATTATCAATGTAATTCCATGGTCCACTTTCATGCTACTTTGCTCTTTAAGGCTAGATATTATTTTCACTTTTTTTTTAGTGGGTTGGTTCTGCAGCCGGTGCATGTGCCTTTCACATTACCAATCATTTGCTTGTTTGAAAAGGCTAAACTAGTGTTTTTTACCCACAAAAAACAGCAGGAGAATTTTTAAAAATT